TATATTTGTTATAAAAGTCTAATTTATATTCGGATCCTTTTTTACGTTTTTTATTAAGGTTTATTGGTTGACAAGAGCGGTCTTTTCGTACAAACTAAGCACACCAAACATGTTGGCCAAGCATTTGAACGAAAATTTAAAAAAGTTGAAAATATTGTTATAACGATTATAAAATTATCATTATGATACCAAAATAGCTTTTATTATTTTTATTATTATATGGATCATATGCCGAAATCAATAACTTAACCGGATCGGCCGAAAAATCATTCGGTCAATGTGTTCCAGGAATTATGAAAGTAGCTGTAAGATATACCCCAAATTTTACTTTTTAACTTGTCTCGGGTAATCATAGTAGGATCTACTAGTCATCACTTTATGGTAATTAAAATTGAGACAGAAACTTAGACTAATTAAACAGCATCTTACCGAGAATCTTAGGGAAATGTTAGATCAATACTATGACATCTTGAGTTGGAAAGATAAATTAGCAAACATATATAATATTTCTTTAGGTCTTATGGAAATTCATAATGCGGGGTTAGTTCATAAAGATTTTCACTCTGGTAATATTGTGCTGGACGATTCAACTTGTCATCTTTTACGGATTTTGGCTTGTGCAAACCAATATCCGAAAATTTGATTTAAAAAAGCGTAAGGAAAAAATATATAGTGTAATTCCATATGTAGCACCTGAGATTTTTAATGAGAAAGAATATACGAAAGAATCGGATGTATATTCTTTTGGGGTAATCATGTCAGAAATATTAACCGGCTATCCGCCATATCATGATATTCTGCACAATAATGATCTTGCAGTAGAAATTTGCCAAGGCCTTCGACCTTAAATTAGATGTGAAGTTCCACAATTATTTCTCGATTTAATGAATAGATGTTTAGATGCCATTCCTTCAAACCGACCGACCGCAGTACAAATATTTGAAATTATGGTTCAGCTTCAGAAAGATTATGAAGATGATCCAAGTGAGCTATCTAAACAAATCAAAGCAATTAAATTTTCAGAGATGAAAGCACAAAAATATAATCCAAATCAAACTAAACATCCATTGGCTGTTTACACAAGTCAACCTCTGTCTGTAAATATTAAAGGTAATAATAATTATTTGTACAGTATCATGGCAAAATTTTTAGATCTATATTTAAAAACTAATTTGAAAATTTTTGACGATAATTAGCCACAGTAGATATTGGACTCGAAATAGGGATTGATTGTTCATGTAAGTTCTATATTAATCTTTATCTCAACGTTAAGTCAACTTTTAATCGATTTATTTTAGTTAATAATGACGAGTTTTAGCGATTACTTGAATCATTATGGCTAATAATTAAATACGAAAGACTAAAAACAACTTTTTATGATAGAGTTTACTATGTTTTTGGCGAATAAATTTATTTTTCGGCAAAATTGTGCAATTGCCGAATAATAAACTTCTGGCAGACAAACAGTAATACTGATACTGCCAGATAACTTATCGTTATTTATTTGGTATCAATAATTTAAGATCAATCTAGTCATCGAGTTCTTCGTAATTCAACTTATTTAGGCTGGTCTTAAATTATTGATACCAAATAACGATAAATCATTATCAGGCAGGCATTGCTTGATAATTTTAACAATAATTATTTAAGGTTTAGCAAGTACTTGAATCAGTATGGCTAATCACTAAATACGAAGGAAAAAACATGGCCTTTTTATCAATTATGCCTTAAACCGTCAGGCATACAAATTTATACGCTTAAAATTTTTAAACTCAATTTTTTAAATTTTATTAATGAGTTGAAAATTTATATTTATATTTAATATTATCAAAGATATATAAATTTAAGTATTATCAATTTAAAATATTACTAAATTTTATTAAAAATTTCAATTTATATTTAATATTATTAAAGATATTTCAATTTAAAATTTTATTAAATATTTTTAAATTTATAATTAAAATGTTTTTCTAAGAGCAAATTAAAAAATTTTAAAATTATGGATTTATAGTATATAGTAAATTATATTTTTTTATATAATTAAAAAGATAAATATTATTTGACTTATAACTGTATTTAATATTTAAAAATTGGTTTAAAATATTTTAGATCAGGAACAAAATTTTAAATTTTAAATTGACGGTTTAAGGGATAATAGTACAAAGGTTTAAATTAGTTATAAAAGTTATTATTTGTTATTGAAACTGAAATTTATTATTTATAGAGGAAGCTTATTACTTATATGAGAACATGATTAAAATTTTATTTATTAATAAATACTACATATATAGTACTTTATAAAATTTTTTACTATCAACTAAAAATATAATCTATTTTAAGTAAACTCTTGTTATTGGTTAATATTTATATCTTTCTCCTTAAGAATCTCTACAGCCTTTTAATGGCCATTTAATGCTGCCAATTTTAAATATTTAATGCCTAAGTCTGAATTTGAAAGAGATGGCAAATTTCCCTTTAAATGCATATCACCCAAGTTATATTGAGCCATAGCATTGCCTGCATCAGCAGCTTTCATTAGATATTCGATAAACTTTTCATGTTTATACTTCACACCCGAGCTTTTATCAGTCATCATAAGTGCATAACGGAAACAAGCATCTGTATTATTGTCTTCAGCAGCTTCCTTAAATAAACTAGCAGCTTGTGTTACGTCTTTATTTACAAAAACGCCACCAACAAGATAACATGCCTTTCAATATTTCGCAGTGCTACTTCCTAGATCGGAATGAAGCTTGAAAATTTTTCCAGGCCTTTTCATAATCTTTATTCTTATGTGCAGCAATGCCTTCTTCAAGTGATTTTATCTCTGTAATAAATGGCTTATTTGATTCTGTAATTGATAATTGCTGATTTAATTTTGATCCATCTAAATCTAAATAGCCATTAGGATAAAGAGAAGTCCTATAACATGGTTGAGTACAATTTAATGATAATTTCTCAAGTTTTAAGAATATTTCAGCAAGTCTGATTCTATTTTGTGGATTTCCTTTTCAGGCTTAATGAAGAATTTTATTTTAGTAATATAATTGTGACAGCAGCTATTGTGAATCTTTAGCATTAGGTAAAAAGGTTTACCTGCAGTAATAATTTCCATTAAACCCTGTTGAAGCATCTGATTCTCTGGTGCAATCTGTCCACAAATGATATTTTTGCGGTTGCCATTTATAACATGTTTCATTACTTGATTCGTACTCGAAATATCTTTATAGAAATTTTTCAAACACCAATTCTCAAATCAACATTCCAAAACTATAAAAATTAGTGTTGTAAGAGTAAAATGATAATATATAAAGTATATATGTAGCTTTACTGACCTAAAAATTTCGCATTTAAAATTATATCAATATTTAGACATCTTTTCAGGTGCTATCCAACGTACTAAATCATTTACATTTTCAATTAATATCGAATTTTGCTCAGTTTCACAAGAATATTTGAAGTATGCGATTTTTGGTTCAAGTCTTAAGGTCATCTATATTTTAGAAACATAAGTTTAGAAGAAAATAATTTCTTTTAACGAAAAAAAAAAGAGTATAAAATCTACCATAATGTTTTCGCATCTAATGTCATGATGAAGGACATCACAAATATGCAAAAATACCAAACCCCAACAAATATTCAAAGCAATAGTGAACCTTTTCAACCAAATCAATATCTTGATTAAGATATAATACTCAAAGATTTCCCTTATCCGCCCATTCAAACACCATAACTTGATTATTATTCAAATTAGAAAGTCTATAAAATTTTAAAATATTTGGACACTCCTTTAACTTTCCTAAAATTACAAGTTGTGCCTGAATTCTTTGATTTACAGACGTCCCATCGTCTACAACATTTGTAGGTTTGCATGCAACATTATTTCCTCGATATAATTTTTCACTATAGATTTTCCTGCACAAAGTTTTATTTCTCCATAAGGAAGATCATCTAATTCTTTTGGATTAATTTTAATTGCTTTCAGGTGATTAATTTGATTTTCTGTGTTATTTAAACCATTGGTTAAAAGACCAACTTTCTCATTAATAATCTGTAGTTCATTGATAATCGTATTTATTTGTGAATTATTATCTGTAACGCCTTCGGCAATTGTTTTGTGGAACTAAAAAAAACAGAAAAATAAGGTTTATGTGAATGTTTTTAAGATATTCATAAATATGGCGGCTGAACTGGAAATTTCACCTTTTTATAGATCTAGACTCAGGTTTCAGCTTAAGTCCCCAACAGTAAATTTACCTGTTTCATCTCTTCAAAATCAGCATTAAGATTTTCTTGGTCTAATTTTCTTTGTTCTTCATTAGAAATAGTTATCGTGAAATGTAAATCATTCATACTTTGATCAAACTCAGAAATCAATTTCGTAAAAGTTTCTTGTACTGAGTTCGTTGTTGCATATTTTTTCCAGCCTGACAAGTTTGAAACATTGTTTATAAAATTTTTTATTTTCTTTAATACTTCAACGAATCTGTAAAATGCTTTATGATCGCAAATTTTGGGCTGAAATTGTAAGATTTCGACATTAATCTTTGCAGTATTGAATCTAACCAATAGCGATGCACAAATTTTTTTATTGTGTTTGGCATTTTCATTACTTCAGATACAACTACAAAAACAGTACTAATCAAAGGAACGAAAGGCTGTACAGTGTCAGCCAATTTTCCAACTACATTTAGACTATTTTTTAAGATATCAGAATTGGTGCCTAAAGTAACTATGCTTTGGGCATTTTCAAGGACCATTTTCAGAGTCTCTGCCATTATTGTTATTTACAAACAATATGAATCTTTTACTAATTTTAATGAGAATTTGAAAATTATTATTTTTTTCAACCATTTATAAATTTTAAGGTGTATTAATTCGAATGTTGTAATAAGTCGTACCCGTATAAGTACATTTCTTTGTTGAACAATACTTTGTTTATTATTAAAGTAATAAACTAAACAAAGAAATTGGAATATATAAAGTTGGCAGTTAATTAATAGAACTTAATAAATTTAGCTTGTTTTATTCGACATAACTATGATGATACATTCTGTGTATTACTGTTACTGTTACAGATCCACAAAATGAAACTAATTAGGACACAATGGACGTCGTAGTAAGTCTTTGACATTTTAATTATTAATATTCAATGTTAATTTATAAACAGTACTAAAATGAAAGTGACAATTATTATAAAAAAAAATTTCATAATAACGCTCTGTATACAGTAATACACATGATAAATTTTAACAAATGTACGAAAGTTATGTTTTTGATGCATCATATTTATCAAAATCAAAAGGGTAACTTTGAACTTTCCGTCAGACTTGATGGAAAGTCTGAAGTTACCTCTTTTATTTTGATAAATAGAATGTAACCTTGTATCGATGCAGCTTAGAAACGTACCAGATAGCGAAAATTTGGTAATTTCCGTTGCTGTATTTAAATAGCGATAATGATCGACAGCAAAGACAATTGTTTGAATACGATAGCGATGGCTATAATTTTTTTTTAGCAGTGAGGAGTTACAGTGTTAGTAATAATCATATGACTGCGTTAGAAAATCAAATCATGAAACAAAGAAATGTCTTATTATTTGCGTCATTAAACGTCTATTCTACACAAATGTCTAATATACTCTTCTAATGTAACTCTAACACTAAATTCTAGCTCAACTCTAAAAAAGAGCTAAAAAACGTCCCTAATAAAATACGTGTAAATAAGAAAATTGGAATCATTAAAAGCCTTGCGTGTTATTGCAAAAATAAATTTAATATGAAAGTTATAATTAACATATTATATCTGCAATCTGTAAACTACGCAAACATTTATTTAAAGAATAATTATTTTAAAATCTTTTTATTTAACAGTTTTTTAACATTGGAACTTATGGCTACTAATACTGCAATAATAATAATAAAATGTAGTATAGTAATTGTCTCCTAAGAAGTTTTTTTGGTTCTTTCCAGATATTAACATACATATGAATATTAAATTCAGAAATTGTATTACAAATATTGAATTTGATGAAGTTTGGTTAAATATTAAGAGTTATGAACATGTGACTTCACAGACCTATGGGTCCGCGAAATCTACGGACAGGCTTAGTGTTAGGGACTACAAATTCATGTAACATTATAATTGTCAAAATTTCACAAATCCTAACTCCTAACTACCAATTAGTGAATTTATGCTGTCCCTAAGACTATTAATTTTTGCCATAGAGAGGTCTGACTGTATTATATTTGAAAAGTTAATTCTTTGATTTTGTAAACTGAATAGACCTTATTGAAAAAGTTCTTTTGATTTTTTTTTTATAAATTTATAAATTGTTTATGTTAAAATTAGAAACATTTTAATTTTTATACAGTACCGGACAGTAAAACACGTAAAGATAAGTGAGCTTTATAAAATAAAAAAAATAGTTTATTTAAATTGAATCATTAGGGGGTTTCAGAATTAATTTTTTTTCAAAATAAGTGGGAGTTTTAAAGGACCTATTTATTTTTTAGAATTCCAAATCAGAAAATTAAATAGTTATATGTCCGGTGATAAAATTAGCTTTTTTTTGATAAACATTCATCCATAAAACGATGATTATGTAAATAAGTACGTATTATAAAAAAATAGAATTTGTACGTCGCTTATTTTGGCACCTGGAAAATGTGTACCAGGTTGAGATCGGATGATTGTCCGAAAAGCTAGGTCGGAATGGTATGACAACCGGAACTAGAACCAAAATTACGTACGTACGTTATCTTTTTAATAAAATAAAATTTTTATTATAATTAGTTTAACATTATTTAAATTATAATTAGTCAATAATGTTTTTTGTTTGTTTGTTTTTTCCTACAAAAAAAAAAAAAAAAAGGTGCAAAAATTTGTTATAATCATTATTTTTAATATTGTAAGCTTTATTTTGTTAATTACAAACAAGAAATCATCAAATTAGGACTTAGCTAAACAAAAACATAGAATATATCAAATCTATCTATATCACTTCGCCAAATACCTTCGTCGTTTATGAGTCAAAAATTGAACTATAATGGCCAAATATGAAAATAAGCAATGTTCGATCGTCTAAAAAAGATATTTAATTAGGGTGGCATTTTATATTTTTTAATTAATAATAAGTCAAAATTTATTTAATAACTATGTGGCAATGAAGATCTAATAAGCATATAATATCTATTGAAAAATTTTTCAACTTATCATTAGTAACGTTAAGAATAATAGCCAACTTCAGCATTGAATATTTAAGTAGGATACAAAAAATCTGTCAATAGGCAAGTTAGCATCTTTTCTATTTCACCAAATTTCACCACAGTCAACAAATATTCAGAAAGAAAGTATTGACCAGTCTGAAATGAAGGTGTAAAGAATGATTAACTGTAAAAAAAGTAATAATTTATTAAAAAACATTACAGAAAACAAACTAAATGGTCAAAAAGAATAAACTATTATAATGTTGAAATTCAAATTTTACTTGTATTATTCATGAATTAGATACAGCTATAAATTGCATTAATTATTTCTTTATATTATCATTATAATTGAAAAATAAAAATTCGAAGACATTTTTCGGACCTTCATCTGAACCCAACCTGGTACACATTTTCTGGGGCCTTATTTTGAAATAAACATGTCACTTATTTTATCTGAAATCAGACGCCGAATCACTAATTCCGAAGCCCCCTATTCAATTTAATGTATATATTTGCATGCATATGATTTTTTTTTTAGGCATTGGATATTCTTGAGAAGGCATATAATCTTCCACAACGAAATGAGAAGTTAAAAAATGTTGAATAATACTTTATGCCATTCCAAAAAATGGTTAATGATATAAAAAGTTTAAAGCAAGCAAAACATCTTCCACAAACATAGAATGGCCGAAATAAAACCACATTTTATTGGCAATAATGTTATAATATGTAATCGAACAGTTTATAATGTAAATATATGCTAGAATAGATGGCTATTAAGAAAAGCCTTTATGATTTATAAAATAAAACCTAAATTATTATACGTAATGCTAATACATATACTCTTATTCTTGATAAACAAACTAAAAGTAAAAACTTATGCAATAAATTTTTATAGTACTCACTGAATCAATATAACAAGTTTTTGTTCGTATTGCTTTATAAATTATTCGCTAAAAATTTTTTATAAAAGACAAAAATTGCATCGATTTCCCAATTCAATATAGCAATTAGGAGTTCCGAATGCAAATTCTGGTCGCAGCCTTTACAAATTTTTATTGAAAGACCAACATCAAATTCATAACCATCGAAAGGTTGTCATCCAGTTGATATTTTTGTCATGATAATTCCCAACGAATAAACATCTGCTGCTTGTGTAAACTTCTTTCCTGACAACACTTCGGGGCGATGTAAGGCAAGACACCAACGATTACTCTATTTTCCTTCTTTATAGATGAAGTAAACCCTAAATCTGCAATATATGCTTTATCTATATCATCTTGTAAAATGTTTCCACTATGCAAGTCTTTATGAACATATGGGCAGCCGTCAATAGAAATCAAGCAAATCTACATTTGAAAAAAAATCAATGCCTTAACTTTCACAGCTCATATCTCGTTGAATTTTAAAGCTATCTTTGGTAGTATAATGTTCAAAAGAAAGCTTAAATCATAAGCTTTCTTTTGAATATTAAATCATTAAGATAGTTTTAAATTTCATCGAGATATGAGCTGTGAAAGTTAAGGCATTAATTTTTTTTCAAATGTAAATTTGCTTGATTTCTATTGACGGCTGCCCATATCCTTGCGAATGGATTGCTTCAAGGTTAGCAATTATGCATTGCAATATCTTTATTTCTTTTTCCCATCCCATTTGCACTATTTTATAAAGATTATTATTTAAATATTTCTTCTTGGCATATTCTAGTACAATAATATAGTTCTCTTTATCATTTCTCGATATTCCATAACATTTAAAAATGATAGATTCACAGTTCCAATTTCACAATATAATTTTAATTCTTCAATAAAATTTTTACTATCATACGAATTAAGCATTTTGAGGGCGACAGGTATATTTAAATTTGACTTTTATCAAACCAGTGCACATAGTATACAATTGCGAATCTCCCTTTTCCTATTTCTCTAATATCCTCAAATTCATTATAAGGGATCTATAACAATTGATATTTATTTTCGATCAGCATCTTTTTTAAGTCGTTGTCAGCATCAAATTTTTTATTTCCTTCCTCATATTTGACTAGGAAAAAAATATTAAAATACAATAATAAAGTTAGCACTATGAATACTCATCTGTCATAAATTTGTTCATTATATTTATTTAAGTTATTTATTGTGGCTACTTAAGCTGAAATTTCTTAAACTGGGGATTTAACCTATTTTAATATAAAATTTGAGACCTTTTTTTGCCAGCTTTTTTAGAGTTGAATTATGTTCAGAGTTAGAGTTATTAATAAAAGAGTACAGATGAATTTTAGTAGGTATTATATACAATATCTTAATGGGGCCCCAAATTCCATAACAAGCAAGTCCAAGCGTAAGTTGCCATATTTATTAAACCAAATATCTTTAAATATAAATTTATTTTACCTTTGATACCAGATTTTTGATAATAATTGAAAGTAACGTATTCATCCTTTTCGACTCCTATGCCATATTTATAACAAACGCCAACATTAAATTTTCCTTCAGTATTTCCCATATCTGCAGATTTTCAATAATAAATGAATGCCTTATATTCGTTCTTTTCAACACCAATTCCTTTTTCAT